ATAGACATACAGATTCTCTGAGGTTACCCTCATTGATGCATTTCACAAGGCTGTCACACGGAGCCCAGACACCGGTGGGTCACCAGACTGGTCCACGAGCTCAAGGAGATGCGAGGGCTGATGCCTGCAGTCCGCAAGAGTGTGGTTTTGGAAGGGACACCGTTCCTGACATGTTATCAGTGTTTCTTGCCCTGTGGCTTTGAGGAGGCGTAGTGCTCTCCAGCTCCACTGCTGCTGATATAAGTAATGCCTGTGAAATTCGTACCTAAAACAATTTAAGACAGTCATGTCTGCTTAAAAGTGATTTTCATTTACAAATTCAGTGCAATCCTTATCAAAACATCAGTGGCATTTTTCACAGAATAGACAGTCTTAAAATTTGTATGGAGGCACAAAATACCCCTAATAGCCAAAGCAATCCTGAGAAAGAACAAAGCCGGAGGCATCATGTTCCCTGATTTCAAGCAATATTACAAAGCTCTAGTAATTAAAACAGTATGGTACTGGCATAAAAACAGACACATTTGTCATTAGAACAGAGAGCCCAGAAATAAACCCATACGTATATGGTCAATTAACTTATGACAAAGGAGCCTAGAATATACAATGGAAAAGAATAGTCTCTTCAATACATGGTGTTGAGAAAACTGGATGCTACGTACAAAAGAATGAAATTGAATTGTCTTACACCATACACAGATGTTAACTCAAAATGAAGGATTAAAGACTTGAACGTAAGACCTGAAACCATAAAGCTCTTGGAAGAAAACATAGGCAGTAAGCTCCTTGACATTGATCTTGGCGATTTTTTAGACTCCAAAAGCAACAATAAATAAGTGGGACTACATCAAACTAAAAAGCTTCTGCACAGCGAAAGAAACCATCAAAACGAAAAGGCAACCCACCGAATAGGAGAAAATGTTTACAAATCATGTATCTGATAAAGGGTTAATAATAAGAACTCATACAACTCAGTAGCAAAGATCTGAATAGACATTTTTCTAATGAAGACAGACAGTTGACCCACAGGTGCGTAGAAAAGATGCTCTACATCACTAATCATCAGGAAAAAGCAAATCAAAACCACAAGGAAATATCACTTCACACCTGGTAGAATGGTTATTATCAAAAAGAGGAAATAACAAGTGTTGGCAAAGATGCAGATAAAAGGGAGCGAACACTTGCGCATTGTTGGTGGGACTATAAATTGGTGCAGCCGCTATGGAAAACAGTATGGAGGTTCTTTTAAAAATTAAAAGTAGAACTACCATATGATTCAGCAATTCTACTTTTGGGTATTTATCTGAAGAAAACAACACAGATTTGAAAAAATATGCACCCCACATTCATTGCCACATTTACAGTATCGAAGACATAGAAACAATCTATGTCCATCAGTGGATGAATGGATAAAGAAGATGGCATATATACGCAGTGGAATGTACAACCATAAAAAAAAGATGAAATCTTTACATTTGTGACAACATGGATCGACCTTGAGGGCATTATGCTAAGTGAAATAAAATAGAGAAAGGCAAATACCATATGATCTCACACATCCAGTCTTAAAACAAAAAACCAAGCTCAAAGTTACAGAGAAGAGATTGGTGGTTGTCAGAGCGGGTAGGGAGAATGGCTGAAGAGGGTCAAAAGGTATAAACTTCCAGTTATAAAATAAATAATGGGGATATAATGTACAGCATGGTGACTGCATTATCCAGGAAATGCAAATGAAAACCACGAGATAGTTTATAGTGAATTACAGTCTTATAATTAATAATACTGTACTGCACATTTGAAAGTTGCTAAAAGAGTAGATCTTAAACATTCTTATCATAGAATTTTGTAACTGCATGGTGATTAATGTTAACTAGTCTTATTGTGGTGATCACTTGGCATATACAAACATGGAGTCAGATGTAGTACACCTAAAACTGGTAGGTTACGTGTCAGTTACACTTCAAAAAAAAAACAAAAACAAAAAAAATCTAAATCCAGCCTACACTTAAGAGAGGAGTATAATAATATTTTTGGACATATTTAGAAGTAAATAGTATAGTTAGCTATTGTGGGGCTTTGGAATAAGGAGAAGCTAATATTGGCTGCCGCCATTGTCATGTTGATTGGCCTAATAAGTGAAGTGGGAGCCATGGGGTTAAAAGTACATAGCATGTCAATTATATCTTAGTAAAGATAGAGAGGGGAGTGCGTAGCATTCAGAAAACAAAAATCTAGGGGAAAATTCCTTCAGTGATTTTTCTTTTTTTTTTTTTTTTTTTTTTGGCTGAGACATTGCCCCATAATCTCTGAGTGACAAAGACCAACTCATTAGGATAAAGCACTGGGTAGATGTGCCATCTTCAGAATGACAAGTTTCAAACATCTGTTTGTATTTGTGTTGTAAGTATTTGAGGACCAAATATAGCGTGTTGATAAGTGTTTGTAAAATGGAATTCTCAAAAAAAAAAAATTAAGGGCCCATTAAATAGTATCTTATACAGAGATCCAATGTGTAAAACACACAAAAATGGAACTACCCTTGTTACAGAGAGATTGGCCCAGAATTTCTTTTCAGTCTCTCCTCCTTGCTGCGAGGGGTCCAAGGAACGTAGTTTGAAAACTACACCATCCAATCAGATCCTTCTCCAGCCTATCATATAAGATAACATATAAAACAGCAGAAGTCAGGAAGGTTGCCATAGTAGCACAAAAGCACTGGACCAGGTAGCAGACTGATTTCTGGTACTATCTATTGTGTAATAGTCAGTGAAAAGCCACTGTGGCTTGGGGAGGGAGTTGCTGATTGGTCAGCCGTGGATATTTGTACTTTCATTGGTCTATTGTCTTACCTGATTTTTCTCCTCCAACAGAATAATACAACAGTTCTTTGCAGGATTCTTTGCAAATTCTGCGGTTCCTGGATCCCCACACCCTTTATCCTGGTAAGTAACTAACTGCCTCTGTCTTACTCTGCTGGAAAAGCATCATTTTAGGTACTACAGTTAGTGTCCATGCCATAGTGAGGAGAGCTGTGGAGGCGAGTATATAGGTGTGGTTGCCAGACCGTTACACTGCCATTATTTGCTAAGCCCAAACTTAATCAGAACTTATTTTTTGTCCAAGCTTGTGAGGGCCTGGGATGTCTGGGCACTGGGCTTGTCTGATTCCGGGGTGTGTTGAGGTGGGGGATGAGATGGTCCCCAATGGGCTGGGCATCTGTTTTGTGGGTTTCTCCTTATCATATGGGATGCCTTTATTCCTTAAGAGTTTCTGAAATTGAAAACTTGCCACCTAACTTCCTTTTTTCAAGGTAAGATTGTTTGTCAGAAGAAACAGAAGCCTATAATTCAGTATCAGAGTGATATTTATGCACGGCAGGGCAAAGATGGAGTTTCCTCTTGTCTGGACGGTTATGTTGCCCCTTCTGACTCTGCCCCAGACAGCTCCTCTGCTCAGAGGGCCCTCGGTTCATCTACACAGTTACCTAATTGCCCAGCCCTTAGTTTCTGTAAACATGTCCTCCCCGAAGAGTCTGGACATTCGTCATCCAGAGTCGTATGCCAGCAGCTCCAAAAAGAGGGGCCGCCAGGTCTGCTTTGGAAGTGCTCTAGGCCATGAGTCAGGTGAGGCCACTGTGGCCGCTGTGCTCTGTGCTCTGTGTGGAAGCCCCTTGCCCCTGGGACCCAGGCAGCCTCTTTGAATGAGGGAAGTCGGCTGGAGTTTGGCCAGTCACGGAGGGAAAACTCTCCTTAAAAAGCAGCTGCATTTACGTTTAATGTTAAAGTAGGCACAGAGAAGACAAGCTTTTCTTAACCAACAGGAAGTGAGTCACTCTGTCACTATTTGCTTTCGAGTGTCATGTGGTACTTTAGGCAGCTTCACATTTTAGGTTCCATTCAGTTTAGTAAGAATTCCTAGAGAATGAGAGACTGACTACCTTTAGATAATACGTGTGACCTTGAAAATACTGTGAAATTCTTTGCCACTTGATTCTAGAAATCTGGTGATTTTTCAGGGCTGAGAGACCAGGATCCCTCTGCCAGTCTTTTCTGTTGTGTAAGGCAGAGCCTGGTTGCTCCCATCTAATGCCGTCTGTCTTATCTCATGTATAGGAGCGGGCTGCTGCACTCCAACCCTGGGGACTATGCCTGGGGTCAGACAGGGCTCGATGCCATTGTAACCCAGGTGAGGAGCTGCCTTTCGCGGGTGTGTTCAGTGTGTCTCGGTTCCGTAGCCTTCCTGCTTTCCTTCTGCTGCTTTCAGAAATGGTAGTCACTCTGCTTTCCCTAATATTTTGAGCTTGTGGGTTTGTATTTACTCAAAGGGATAAATGATTTACAGGTTTAGGTCAGCATCCATTTACTTTCTGTATCTGAGAGACTTTCTAGAAGACGACTTTACCTCTAAAAGAAAAGACTTCTCCTGTAACAAACAGTATCTTTTATTTTTGGCCTCATGTTCAGCCCTATGATGATCCTATAAACAAGTACTTCTCATCAGAGGAGGGTCTGCTCACGTGCCCGAGCAGGGGTAGATGGGGTGAAACGGGAAGGAAGCAGAAGGCGGCATCCCCATGCCATGTGTAATTGCTTCCGTTCGTTTATGTTTATTTTAATTAAATTGGTTTTTCATTTCCCTGTGGATTGCTGAGAATAGAAAGCCTGTGGTTTTTATCCAAGTCTTGCAGGTAGTGACGTACCTATTTCTTGGCTCGCCTTATACAACTTTCCATACTCCCACCTTTTCTTTCTTCCAGCAGAATGAACTTTTTGGGCAGTTAAGTATTACCTTTGGTTAAGCTGTAGTTTTATTCATGACATCACAACCCTTTCTGCTGCCTCGGAAGTTGCTTTATGCCTAAGGTGGGCCTTGCAGTGATGGGTCTGTCTGCAGAGTTACACGAATATTACTTAGAAATTATAAAGCGAGCACGGCTGGCCTGGCAGCAGGAGAGGGAGACCCGGGCCTCCGAGCCCCGCGCGAGTGAAGCGCTGACGTTTCCCATCCCTGCGCTGCTCGTCCTCGGCCGGAGCAGCTCACTCCCCGGGGAGAGTGAGATGTCTGCCACTTCTTGTTTTCTTTCGTTGTAGCTTTTAGGACAACTGGAAAACACAGGGCCTCCCCCAGCTGACAAGGAAAAGATCACATCCCTCCCAACCGTGACAGTAACTCAGGAACAAGTGGGTAGGTTCATTTTCCTTTTATTCTGCCATCTTCTCATCTTTGTTCAGTATTCCAGCACCTTCCTATACTAAGGTTCTTACACGAAGCTGTAGGACTCCTGAAATTCCTGCCTGGGTGCCCGCCGTCGAAGGTGCCCATCCTCCTCGTTACAGTTACTCAGTTGTATTTCCTGAGCAGTTACTGTGTCCCTTACCTAGATGCCATGCAGAAAATAAAAAGGTACAAAGATACGTAGGACTCACTTTCTTGAAGAACTTACTAGGGGAAGCAAAGCAAAACTCACCAACTAGATAACTGAAAAAATCTTATTGAGCAAATGCTATTGACTTTGGAGACAGAGGAAGAGAAAAAAATGAGCTTGGGAATTTGTTTCACATCTGTTCTGTGTCAGCTCTCGTTAGGTACGTTAGACATAGATATTATTTTATTTATAGGCACCAGAGGAATTGAGTGATAAAGGACATTATTTTGCACTGGGGTTTTCTTTCCTCACACATTCCACTTCAGAGTAGAGAGGATTTTAAAGATGGGATGGGCTATCTTAGGTCATTCTGTTTAGAGAAAAGTATGAACCGATGTAAAAATGTCAGCATGGACATGGTGTCTGAATCAGGTATAAGGAGAGTGACCCCTCAGACCTGAAATGGAATCTGGTGTGGGGACTGATGGGAGGTATGACTGGATAGGAAGGGTGCAGCCTTGTTACAGAGGATATGGAAACTGGTAAAGGACATGGAAACTGGCAGAGTAGTTGTGGATGGGTATTTTGACGTACGTAAGTGTTGTGGGTCCCCACGTGGCGGGATGAGGAACTTTAAGTGGCCTTTAAAGTACCTTAGTTTGGAGATAGTGTCTATAGTAGATTGGAAGGGGAAGAAGGCAGCAACAGGAATTTAAGGAGCTGGTGCAGCATCCAGGCGGGGTTCAGGAGGTGGTGGCAGTGCTGACAGAAAGGAAAGGTCATTTTGCAGAAAGGCTTTCGTCACTGATGCATCATGGGACGAAGGAGGGGAAAGGATCGAAGACGATTTTAAGATTCAGCTTCGTAACTACGGAGGCGATGCCGCCATCATCGGGAATGAGGGGATTGTGAGCGGGCTCGGATTTGGGGAGGTCAGGTGCTGTTCATAATTTTGAACCTGTGGATTTCGAGCTACCAGCTGAGAATCCAGGCAAAGGTGAGCTGGGAATGGCTACCAAGCTGGCGTTAGGGAAAACGAGGTGGTGCCAGTGTAGGATATGTTTGTAGGAATGAAGGCCTGGAGTCAGGGATGGGGATACTACCTGGGAGGCTGTTACCGTAGACAAGGCAGAAGTAAGAGCTGGAATTCGGGTTGCGGTGGTGGGGTTAGAGAGGAAGGGGTGATAAATCTGCCTCCAGAGGCCCTGAGTGTTGTGGGCATGTCGCAGACCCTGGCCACTGGGGGGATGGACTAGCGGATGTCGTTAGCCAGATTTGGGAAACTCAGAGTTTGCAATGGGGTGCTGTCAATTTAGTTTGTGGCCATTTCCTCAGAGAAGAAGGCTTTCTGTCTCAGGTCTTGTGCCTGAGCTACCCCAGGGCTTTGCAGCTCTGCAGCACCACCTGCTGGTGCTGCTTTGAATTAACCTGTTTAGAGTGCTTTAGGGCAGCCACGCTGTAAGAGGATGTGCAGTGTGGAAATAGTAGGGTAACAGTGGCTTGCGACACTGCATGGCAGCTGCTAGGAGTCCCGAGGTGAGTCCCTTCGTGTGGCGGACAGACTGCCAGTGTTTCCGAAGTACAAACTGCCAGGAGCCTGGCACACATTTGGGAAGATGTTCCTAGTTTATTTAACAGATAATCGAAGCCCCAGTCGAGTCCTTCCATCTCTTTGCGTTGGAGAGTCGGCCCTGTACATTTCCTACTTCCTGTCTGGGTCTCATGGGAACTGGCCCGCTCATCAGCCCTCCTCTTCACATCCCTGTCTACTACCGCCTCTACCCTCATTTTGAATTAAAATTCCTGCTTCTTTCTGCCTGCACGTTGGATATCCTTTGTGTCATTTCTTTGTGCGTTCCTTTGGTTGTTAAAGACATTGGGCTGGTTTTTTTCTTCCTCCTTGTTGCTCGTTTACTTTAAAAGGCATGTCCTCCTCCGACAGATACGGGTTTAGAGTGCTCAGTGTGCAAAGAAGATTACACGGTGGGAGAGGAAGTTCGGCAGTTACCCTGCAACCACTTCTTTCACAGCAGCTGTATTGTGCCGTGGTTAGAACTGGTGAGTACAGACAGCCCGGCTGCGGGGCGTCTGCGGGGCGTCTGTGCCGGTCATGTCTTCTAGGGGGGTGCGGGAGGCGTGGCTGAAGGTGAGGGTGCAGTTAACAGGGGAGCCAGGCAGGTCAGATTTCAGCCTTTGGCTGACTCCTAGTAGCGCCGTTATAGGACTTTAGATGTCTCTTTGGAACTTCAGCCCAGGGGTTAGCAAACTCCAGCCCACAGATTGCTGTGGCTACGTCTGCATGTGTAAATGAGCTTTTTTGGAACATAGCCGGGCTCATTTGTTTACAGATTGTCTGGCTGCTTTCGTGCTATATCAGCAGAGCTGAACAGCTGCAGCGCAGGCAGTAGGCAGCCTGCGAAGCCTAAAATATTCGCTACCTACCTACCTGTCTCTGCAGAGAAAGATTGCTGACCCCTGTTCCAGACCGCCTTAGCTCTCTCGTCCTATAGTTTGTTGGTGGTGTGTGTTAGCAGTTGTGGAGTGGCCGGCCTGGAACCCGCTCTGTCTGTCGTTAAAGTGGCGTCTGGGAGCCCGTGTGCGCCTCATGAGGATGCTTGTGCCCTTTTTGCTTTCTGCCCGCCAGCTCTCAGGTTTCTTACGTGTTTAGTACGGCCAGCTTCTCAGGCCAGATTGTTCACGTGGACTGATGTCTTTCTGTTTCAGCACGATACCTGTCCTATATGTAGGAAGAGCTTAAATGGTGAGGACTCTACTTGGCAAACCCAGAGCTCTGAGGCCTCTGCAAGCAACAGATTTAGCAGTGACAGCCAGCTACATGACCGATGGACTTTCTGAAGCTAAAGACCGTCTGAGCCAGGCTGTGGTACTCTTCTTATCGCAGCTGTAAATTGTTATCAAAACAAAAAATAGGTGGATTAGGAATCATATAAGAAACCGCAACCCATAATATTAATGCAGTGAGTGTTTTTCTTCTCTAAATTTAAAGTTAGCATCTGTAGACAGAATTGTATCTACAACCAAATGTCTCTTATTCCTGAAT